TTGGGGGGGGGGGTAACAAATATTTTGTTACTTTTATTGATGATACTTCACGAAAATTAAGGGTTTATATTTTAAAAATCAAAGATCAGATGTTTTAAGTTTTCCAGAAGTTTCACGCTATGGTGGAAAGGGAGACATGTCAAAAGCTAAAGCATCTCCGAAGTGACAATGGAGGTGAGTATACTTCAAGAGAATTTGAAGAGTATTGTTCGAGCCATGGGATTAGACATGAAAAGACAGTTCCTGGAGCTCCACAACACAATGGCGTAGCCGAAAGTATGAACCACACCATTGTGGAAAAGGTGAGAAGCATGCTCAGAATGGCTAAAATGTCTAAGTCATTCTGGGGTAAAGCAGTTCAGACAGCTTGTTACCTGATTAACAGGAGTCCATCAGTTCCGTTGGCCTTTGACATCCTGTAGAGATTTGAAATGTGTAAGGAAGACATCTTCATTTTGGCTTTGAAATGTCAAGCCAACTAAAGGAATAGTAAGGAAGATTTTATGGCGAATATTTCTTTGGTTTCACATTGAATATTTGACTCTTGCCAAACTCATGAGATCATTGATGACATCAATGAAGCAATCCTAAATACTATAAATAGGTGTCTTGCTCTCATTATAAAATACACCAACAAAGAGAGAAAGAAAGAGTGAGGCATCACAGATAAGGTATAAGAAAATAGTCTGTGAGAAAAATAGAGAGTGAGCGATATTCTAGTGAGGTGGGAATATCAAAAGACGGTTATTTCTTTTGAGTATTGTAGTGGCCTTTGGAGTATTTTACTCGGACCTATAAAGTATAAAATTCCTTACTATAGTGACATCAGTTGCTCNGGGGGGGGGGGGAGTGTTTATTCCCAACGGTCCGAGTCTTTGAAAAGTGATATCTCAGCTTGAATTTAATAAGCTTTTAACTTCCTGTAGGTTCGAAGCATTTTCAACAGATTCAGGCATGCCTACTGCAGAGATTTCCCTCGAGGCAAATAACAAACCGTAAGCTACACTCTAAATTTGATATTTTGAACAGTGTTCTAAAAGACGTTTTTCGGGTGAGTCCTAGGGCGAGGCGTACCAAAAGACACTGAGTGATCATAATGTCGGAGCGTAGGCTCCGACATTTCGAGCGTTCGCCTGGGGGTAAGCCCCAACGCTCTGGGTGTTCACTTGGGGCATAAGCCCCGAGAACTTTTCCAAATTTGAGCCAAAATTACTTAATAAATCTTTTTTGTTTAACTTAAACATCCAAAAGTGAATTCATAGTAAATTCATAGTAGTTTATTTGCAAAGTGTAAACTACATTTGCGTTTTTCATTTATTTTTTTTGAAAAATTGAAGCCAAAATCTATGGACTAACTGGAACTTAAAAGCTAAATTGTGATATTTTAATAATAACATGAAAGTATTGACATGAGTCATTTGTTTCTCTTTTTCTTTTCTTTTTTGGTTGAGCCAAATTAAATGATTTCGTTACATAACCGTACTTGTCAAATCTCACAACACAACTCTTTGTGTTATACAGTAGAGATTACGACAGCCGTTGTATGAAAAGACAGGAGATAGTGGAGACTTTAGAGAAAGAACTTCCCCCAGGAACTATAAAGTATTCTTCCCTCGTTGTTTCCATCCAAGACTCTGGACTATTCAAGTTGCTACATTTGGCTGACACAACTGTTCTTCGAACCAAGGTGAATATATATTCTTGTTTTTATTTTTTTGGGGTTAAATTTTCATATAGAATCCCATACCTGAAACCTTGATTAGTATTAACTATCCCCATATTTCACATAAAATTAAATAAAAAATCACCAAAAATTACGACTAAGCTAGCTCATAAGATATTATTGTTCTCTAAGCGCTATCATATTCGACTCAAAACTTAGTTAGATGACAATATGTGAAGCTATGGACTTTATTAAAAAAATAAAAAATAAAAAACCCTTAATTAAACCTTCAACTTCAGAAAATTAAGCAACAAATTAGTAGTAGAAAATAGGGCAGCCTAGATTGTGGTACAATGGCTAAGATTTCTTCACCCAGATATCGTGTTCGAACGCTTCCCTCTTTAATTGGTTTTAGGTAGAGGTGGAGCCAAAATTTAAAAATTTATGCGTTCAGGACTCTAATCGTTTAAGATATAATTGAGTTCGAAATTAATAATTTTTACGTATTAAATAAAGTTTAATTTTAAGATAAATATAGAGATTGGGCCAAGGTTATTGAACTCTATCGAATCCATACCTTGGTCTCTAACTCTTCCCCTAATCTTAGGCAGTGCGAATCAATTAACTGGGCCCAAAAAAGATTTGAATATTTCTGCTTTGCGTGAAGGTGTTAATAGGATGTGACGGTGTGAACTCGGTGGTGGCTAAGTGGATGGGCCTCCCGAAACTAGTCGATGCAAATCGTTCAGCTATTCGGGGATATGTTGAGTATTCAGAAGGTCATGAGTTTGAGCCTAAGTTTTGTGCTTATTTTGGAAGAGGAGTTCGCATTGGTTTCCTTCCCTGTGATGACAAGAGCTTGTACTGGTTTTGCACTTTTACTCCATCTGCCCTCAACTGTAAGCCTGCTCCCTTAATTAGCTTCTACACCGCAATTATTAGCATACCTTTTTCTTTAATTTCCACTGAAGATAATGAGATATATATGCATACCTTTTCCATACAAGATAAATTGGAGAATATTTTATTTATCTACTTTTTCCACGGAAGATATAATGCCACTGTAGTATGTTTTTGATATATGGTGGAAATAATTTCCTAGTTCATGTGGCTGGACTCGAATTTTTAGTCGGGACTTCTATGCAATACATGAAAACCGGATGAAAAATAAAAAAATAAAAAATCAATTCCTAGAAAAAAGATTACGAGAAAGTTATTTTCTGATATATTTAGTTACTAAAAATGTATTTCAAGGACAATATTTATAAGTATTATTTAATGGTCATATGACTTCCACGGAAGATAATTACGACCTTTTATTTATGTACTTTCTCCACAGGATAATCATATCTTTGTCGTTTTATGTCTGCTTATCTATTTCTTTATCTTTTTTTTTATGTGTCATACCAATATCTCTGGCTTTTTGTCTGTCTGTCATGTAACGCTTTTGAATTGCATGCATCTCAGATGATGAATCGATAGAAGGAAGTCCAGTCAAAATGAAGCAATTTGTGCTAAGTATGGCCAGCAACGTGTCAAAAGAAGTATACAATATCCTGCAGAGAACCTCACTAGATAGCTTATATTGTGCCAAACTAAAATTAAGATCGCCATTGAATATTTTAATGATATACAATATTGTCAAAAGAAACACTTGTCTAGTTGGTGATGCACTTCACCCAATGACACCTGATATTGGTCAAGGTGGATGTTCAGCATTAGAAGATGGTGTGGTTCTTGCTAGGTGCATTGCTGAAACTTTTTCAAAAAAATTACCAACAGGAATGGAGAAATTAGAAGATGATGATTTTTACAATAGAATTAAAGTTGGTTTGGAGAAGTATGCAAAAGAAAGAAGATGGAGGATTTTTAACCTTATTAGCACTTCATATTTGGTTGGTTTGGCACAAGAAAGTAATGGGAAAGTGATTAGCTACTTGAGAGAGAAATTCTTGGCTCAATTTACAATTGAGACTATGCTGAGAATGGGTGATTTTGATTGTGGGAAACTATTGACCTACTCTGGTTGAAGTGAAGATGTAAACTTCGTTTATTGCTATTATGATCAATGAGTAAAAGCACCTAGAAAAGAACAGTTAGAAAACGTTGTTGTAAGAACTAGCTTGTATGGAAGCTAAGGTTGCAAATGTGTCACTCTATCATATGTAAGGAGTTTATTTTTCAACTGTGCTATTAACGAGTACTTCCCTCCTCCCAATTTATGTGGTTTCATTCAAATTTGCAAGAGTCAAACAAGTTTTTCTTTTATTATAATTTTTCATAAGTCTTTCAAATACTTCGAATTATTAAGTATTGTAATTTTTAGTACTTTTTATCTACTTTTCAAATATATAAAAAAATTTAAAAATTCCGTGTTTAAATTAACAATCAAAATTATAGACGGGCTCTCGAAAACATACATTTGGACGGAGGAAGTACATAACTCTTACAACAATTAACGTACATGGAATACAACATTCTCCTTTGATGAAATTTAACTTTTTTTTTCTCCCTTGATGTTCGATTAATTTGGATTCCTGTTGTGTAAGTCTATTAAAGGGAGAAGCGCGCCCTGCTAGAATATTTTTTATTCTCAAGACTCGAATCCAAATCTTGTTGTTAAGGGTAGAGGGATCTTATCCATTCCACCGCAACTTTGGTACCTAAAAATTTAACTAACGAAGCCAGATATACTGAGAGGGGGATCTAAGAGACTTTATTTCACTTAACACCTTCATCCTTTGGTTCGAGTAACACTACTCTTTTCACATTTGATAGATAGAAACTCTCTTGCCTTTAAGGTCAACGGCCAAAATGAGATTGTTATTGCTGGATTGTTCAAAAGGTTAAAGACGACCTCAATTATTATGGATATAATACTTTCTTTTTAACAATAAAAAATTTATACAACAATGTTTTGCACAAATGTTGAATTCCATAACTCTTTTTCTTTTTATCCATAAACTTTTATTTGGACTATCAAAGCCTCATAGATTTTCTCCTTTATTTGAGCCTCAAATCTTTTTTATTAATCTTGACCCACCTTTTGAAGTGACAATCATTAGTTTTAACTGTATCAGATAATTTTTTTCACAATTTAAAAAAAAAAATATGTTATAATCTATCTATCTATATTATATTAAAAGCACAAAGGCCCTTAGCGAAATGTCGTTCGTCTTTTTTACCCTTTAAAACATATTTTATAATGGATAAAATTATAATTTAAGTTACTCTCCTAATATTTAGGATTTTAAAATTAATAAATATTTTACTTTCTAAAAATTCTCAATTTCCTTATTTGAAGCAAACCGAATTAAAAAATTTGAGGTCATTCGGACGTGATTTGGTTGGTTTCGGCATCGGTTGCCGAATTTGGAAATTTGGAAGATTTTACGCTTGAATCCAAGGTGGATTTGGTGTTTTGATGTCATTTTGAGTGTTTCGAAGGCTCGACTTAGTTCGTATATTGATATGTGACTCGTTAGTATTATTGGTTGAGGTCCCGAGGGCCTCGGGTGTGTTTCGGATGGTTAGCGGATTATTTTTTGGTGTTGGTGAGTTGCTGAAAATCTGTTGGTGTGAGCTTTTTGGTGTTTCCGCACCTGCGTAAAAAGGGAGCCACAGGTGCGAGGGTCGCAGGCGTGGAAGGTGGTCACAGACGCGGAATTTTGGTAGCTGGGGATCGAGCGCAGGTGCGCAAGCTTGGCCGCACCTGCGAGCCCGCAGGTGCGAGGAATAAGGCGCAGGTGCGGAGTCTGGGCGTTTAAGTGACTTGCGCAGGTGCGGTCGCACGGGTGCGAGTAAAAGGTCGCAGGTGCGAGAAGCCTGGGCAGAAGGTATGTATTGCACACTTCGCGAATTTTGGTGCATTCTTCACCATTTCAATTCGGTTTTGGAGCTTTTGGGAGAGATTTGAAGAGGGAATCAAGGGGGTTTTCATTGAGGTAAGTTACTTGAGCCCTAATACTCGTGTTTATGATAATTTCTCATTGTTTAATCATGTAATTAGTGGAAACTAGGGATGAGAATGAGGGGATTAGGGCTTGGGAATTGGATAGTTTGATTTGGGGATTTGAGGGACCAAATGAGGTCGAATTTTGATAAATTTTGTATGTATGGACTCGTGAATGGATGAGCTTTCTAGTTTTATAAATTTTGTCGGATTTTGAGACGTGGGGCCGGGTTGAGCCAACTGCGGGTTTTGGGCTAATTTGATAGTTTTTCTTGTAGAATTCATTCCATTACCGTATATTGATAGTATTGTACTGATTGTGAATAGATTCGGAGTATTTGGAAGCTGCGTTGAGAGGCAAGAGTATTTCGAGGTAGAGAATTAAACGGTTTGAGGTAAGTAACGATTGTAAATCTAGTCCTGAGGGTATGAAACCCCAGATTTTGTATCATTCTACTATTCTAAGTGACGCACATACTAGGTGACAGGCGTATGGGCGTGCATTGTTGGGGATCATGACTTGGTCCGTCCCGTAGCAACTGTAAAGTTGTATATTTTATTGAAAATATATGATACTTATGTGTTTTAGAAAGAGATTCTGTAAATTGGGTTGAATGTTATGTTCGGGCCTTGTGCTAATGCTGTTTGGACCCTTAGGGGCCTTTTCTTACTATCCTCTCACCGTTTCCGTTTGAAAATCTATACTCAATCATTGTTATACCTGTTTACTGCATAACTCAATTTTTATTACTCGATTTTGATGCACATAAATGTTATTTTGGGCTGAGCACCCTATTTTTATTGAAATGCCCGAGTGGCTTGAGAGGTTTATGACTAAGTGAGGCCGATGGCCTGATTTGTGAGGATATTTATGGGATCGGGATGCATGCCACAGCATGTTTGATATAGGCCGAGGGCCTGAGTGATTTATGCCATGATTTGGCTTGATATAGCGCTTGGGCTGAAGGAGCCCCTCCGGAGTCTGTACATACCCTCAGTGAATGCAGGTACCTACTGAGTGCGAGTGCTGAGTAACTGGGAAGCATGAGTGATTGTGAGGTATTCCCGAGTGGCAAGAGTGATTTGTGAGGTATGCCCAAGTGGCAAGAGTGATTGTGAGGTATGCCCGAGTGGCAAGAGTGATTGTGAGGTATGCCCGAGTGGTACAGGTGACTGTGAGGTTTGCCTGAGGGGTTGTTTATGATTTCATCATTTTTGCTCACCTTTGCATTTTCCTCTGTTTGAAAACTGTTAAAAAATAACTTTAAATGATTTTACTGGAACTGGGTTTAAACGAGATGTTTTGATTCAAATCCTGATTTTAAAAGCATGTGGTATTTTACTGAGATTTCCTGATATGAACGTTATATGCTTTATTGCTCGTGACTACTGCTCAGTCTTTATTTATTGTTGTTACTTACTGAGTTGGCGTACTCACATTACTCCCTGCACCTTGTGTGCAAATCCAAGTGTAGTAACACACGGTAGCGGTTGCTGATTATTCTGGTTGCAGATTTTCCCGAGGATAGCAAGGTAGCTGCCTGGCGATCGCAACCCTGCTCTTCTCCCTCTTATCTTCCTTTAGTTGTATTTAGCTATTTTCCAGACTGAGTTAGTCTTGATATTGTTAGACAAATTATAGTAGATGCTCATGACTAGTAACACCCCGATGTTGGGCTTTTCTTTTCTGCACTTTTGTTTTGATTTGAACTCCCGGTTTGTTTTAGAATGAGTCGTCTTGCCTTGTACCACGATAGGCACCATTACGACAGGTTAGGTTTTTAGGTCGTGATATTTATCTTTGAAAATTTTCAGAATACGGGAACGTGGGCCAGAGGGTTGATTTTATAGACCTTTCGAGCGGAGTGGGGAATTATTTAAATTGATTAATTATGGGTATTAGAGTATCTTTTGATTGGTTTGCACATTTTTGAATAGCTTTTGGATCGACGAGCTTTGGATTGAAGAGTTATAGAGGCCTTCGAGCCGGTTTTGGATGTTCGGAGCCAAGTAAGTCTCCTGTCTAACTCTGTGAGGGGAAAACTACCCCTAGGTGATGTATTTGTTATGTATTACTTATTTCGGGGGCTACATACGCACAAGGTCGAGAGTCCGTGTGTAGCTAGATTCATGCTATGTTCGGGTAGACTTAGGTTCACACCGTGTTATAGCTGTACTATTTGAGTTGTCTCTTGCCTATAAAATTCATTTATTTTACATTACGACTTGAGACTAGACTTGCGTTGAGTAATAGACTTACTATTGTAGAGATTTAACGGGATTCATGATAAGCCACAGATTAATTGTACTCTCCTTACAAATTCTCTCGTGTTATGCGTTCTCATCGAAAATTTCTCATAAAAATCTATAACTCACACGACTATTCGTGAGTGGGGTCGATGATCCGAAAAAGTTTCTTATTCTAATGGGATTGGGCCATTTACCTCGTCAGGATAGATACATCTATGGTTCGTGCCGTTCGACCCTCGGCAGTGCGCACACTAATGAGATCGGGCCGTACACCACGATAGGATTTATGTACCACACTCTCATGGGAGCGGGCCGTTCGCCTCGGCAATAAAATATAGTATGTATTTATGGTTTGGCAATGTTAGGATGGATCGGGCTGTACGCCTCGGCATTTCTATGAAATACTCTTTGAAACCGTGCGTAATAATTGGCAAGAAGCCAGTATATATGTGAGCTTCCCTTGATTTAACTATGATGACCTATATGGTAAGGTCCATATTATATATACTCCGATTGAGGAGGTGACTACTAGCTAAGAGCTTGAGATATTTTTGAGAAGAGAGTTGCACCACGTATCTACACCTGTTATTTTCGTTTATTTACGTTGATTCACACCTGGTTACTCTTACTGTGTCTGTTTTATTGGACCTCTAGTAAGTGTCGATGTCGACCCCTCGTTATTACTTCTCTAGGGTTAGGCTAGATACTTACTGGGTACGCGTTGATTTACGTACTCATGCTATACTTGCTACACTTTTTGTGCAGGTACTTATATGTCTGATGGTCTTCTGGGCGCAATGGCGAGGCTATTGCGGGGACTTTACCGTGAGCTGCATTCCATGTTACGCTCCGCAGCCTACAGAGTCTCCATCAGTGTTATTTATATTTTTTCTGTCTAATTTGTATTCTAGACAGATATTGTATTTTATTATATTTCCTAGTTGATGCTCATGCACTTGTGGTACCGGGTTTTGGGGGGTCCTACTGTTGTTTGTCATTGCAGATCACGTAGTTATTAACATTTCTCCCC